TAGACCAATCGTGGGACAAATCTTCTTCCACAGTTTTTTTGGTTATAAAGCTAATAAAACGGATTTTTCTAAAGTCCTTTCAATTTCTCGCGGGTCGAATCTTAATAAGATTTTTTAAAAATGTATTTTTAAATAATTCTTTACAATATGTACATCATCTACCTATTGTCATTGTATTACATAATTAAATGTAATATAAATATAGCTATAAATTACTAATATTATAGGACGATATACATATAATATTTTGTAATAGATGCCACATTCGAAATATTATTAGTCGTGAAAAAAAGAAGATATACTTTGCAACGTTTTTTACACTCCAATTGTGATATTTTTGGCAAATTATACAACTCTGGCATTTTAGCTTAGGGCTCTTAGAATTAATAAGCGGGATTTACGAATATACAACGGACAAGTTGTGTTCGACGAACGTCTTGAGTGGGATTAGCAACCTGGGATCTGTTCCTGTCTGCGACAGCAACAGGATCAAACCAGCCTCCCTTTGAAGGAGCGGATTGGCATACGGGAGAACGGTGGGAGTGAGAGAGGGTATATATCCTGTTAATTACACGATCTCGGATTTGCCTGTGACGTTAGACGTCTCGAGCAGGATGTCTGTTCCCTGACAGACAGATTGAGTTGCCTTCCGTATTATGGGCGCGATTAATAGTAATCGTCTTCCTGCCTCGTGATCCATAAAATCTCATCGTGCAGTCTCAGTTCGAAATAACAACGGGACGATCCTTGTCCATCATGATGTATTTTATATTGTAACGTTCTAAACAATCCGCCCCTCCCGTCACCGTGTGTTATTAACTTTTCATTGTAGAGCTGTAAAAAAATGTGGATATTATTTCAGTATTATCTTGAAGAGTCCGCGAAATTTATTTGCGATGTGGAAACTTCCATCATGTCTATCAGCCGCAACTACGAAAATCGGAAAAATCCATAAACGCGAAAAACAAGTACAACACGAATTCACGAGATTCGCGATGTTGAAGTGGCATCGAAAGCGAATTGAATGACGAGCATATTATTCTGATTAGCCTGACGTTAATGCGACATTAATCGACGATAGAGTCAAGCAATTCACTTAAAATTTAATAAGGAATACGGTACCATATTTACCATATGTTTCTAAAACTTAATTTCTAAATACACAAGTTAATTAGTACTTTAATTATAATAATTAATCGTTATCTCAATTTTTTGCCAACATAAAAAATATAAATTAATGTGAATAATTGATAAAAATAACTGACAGTAAAAATAAGTAAATAAGTATTGATAATAAGATTCAATAATATAATACATGTGTATATCAATAATTATTAAACAAATTTTTAATTACCACGAAGTTTTTTTCAATTCGTTAAAAGATCCACCTTTAAATTCACAATTTGCAGAGGTAACCAAGCAATTAGTACTTCTTTTACACTTCTTCTTTGAAATAGGAAACATCTGAATGATTTACTTAAATCTTTATGACAGATTTTTCTGCAATATCTTCGAGAAATTAAATTTAGAAATCTCCCTCAAGAAAAGTGCGAGAGAAAAAGCTTATTTTCCGGAGAAATCAATAACATTCCGTTCGACTGTTAAACAATCCGCAGTCTATTTTTAACAGATATGAGTATGTAAAGCGATCGACGAATTAATTTTGTGATTCTCACGCGTTTTCTCTCGCCTCGAAGCTCATCAAATATTTGCGCGACTTTTCGCGCCTTGATGTATCCGTCGGATCTTCGCGTTTGTTGTACTTGGGAATTTGCGGTTCCGCGTAACTTTATTCGCCTTTAGCGAGGGCTTAAACTTTGCTTCTCTTCTCTTCGCAGGAAAACTTCTCTCGAGGAAACGTTAACGATGGATTTCCTGACAAGATCAATAAGGACCTTCTTTAGTCCTTAATAAGCAACTAATCAATATATTCTAATTATATACATACACGTGTGTATGTGTGTGTGTGTGCACGTATATGTGTACCTGTAAGAAAAAAACTAGTGATAAATTAAGAATGCACGATACATAGATTCGTAAAAATGTGATTAATTTTTGCAATGTTTAATTAAAATGAAAAAAAATTAAGAATCGTGTTGCTTTTGAGTTTATTATTGAGTTTATTACATTATTGAGAAAATCGATTCATTGTAGAAAACTTCAAAGGTAAGAATCCCATTCTGTGTCACTCTAGAAAAAGTTGGCCGATTTTCCCGTTATGATTGATCTCATACAACAGTATCTATCTGTGAAGAAAAGTTGGAAAGTTACGTTTGTTTTACTCAACTTTCTGTAGAATATCTGTGCGCGAATTAAGAAGATAGTTATAAACTTTTTCATGTGTATTGAATTATTTAATTATGACATTTTACTATAACAATAAAGACATAATAAAATTTTATTCCATAAACAGCTGTATATTACACATACAACTGTATATTACAACAATTACTAATATAGCAATATATAAAATGATGATTTGTAAATAAATATTTAATATACTTTATTGTATTTTTCAGGAAATTGTTATTTAAAAACTCAGATACACTGCAGAGAATTAAAAGATTCTTAAAATAATTCTTATATCATTTTGAGTTCTATTGCCATTTGAAATTTTTTAGGGAGTATGTAATTAAAGAATGAAGCAGCACGATTGAATTTGTATTATACAGACCTATAGATACACGTCTCTTAAAAATAAAATTAATATTTTTCTAATTCAATGAAGCATAAACTTTTGATTCTTTTGTCAATTTTTTGAATAATTTCAATTTTTAATTTCTCCTTCTTTTCGAATAAGATACGAATTTAAATTTTAAAAACAAGTTCTAATTAAATGATTAATTTATTAACGAGAGTTAGATTGCATCTTATTTTCATTCGGTAAACATTGAAACGAAGAAAAAAAAGGGTATTAATTAATTTCATTATTTAATAAAGTAACGCATAAATTACAATCCGTTATATTTTCCATTCAAATTTATTTTTGTATACAGGTGCGTAAGGAACGTAAAACATGTGTATGAAAAGCACACTTTACAAAAGCTCTCTCACGCATTTACATGCAAAAATCACACACACATAATGTAACCTAGTTGTTTTTCTTGTACACTTGCAAACATTCTTGATCTTATTTACAATATTATTATATAGCAATTTTTAACCCATGATAGGCCATAACAATAATACAAAGAATTGCATAGTCAATAATTCTCTAATTGTTAATCAGTTTTTATTCTTTATGAATAATAAATGTTTCCTTTAGTGTGCCATATCCGGTCACTCTGACGTTGGCGATTTTAAAGAAAGTTGGTACTGTGGCTCTACGACTTGCCCTAAGATCAAGGGTCTTTTTGTCTTAAAAATTTTTTTTCTGCAGCGACATTTTATATGACGTAATAAGCATATTATTATTCTTCTTAATTTTTCTGGGAAAATCGAGACATGTGGGGTGAAGAGAATCCAACTTGAGACTCGCCGACAATCAATCGGTCGGTCGCTCTCATAATGAGTCATGTATCTCACGCTCACCCCAATTTTAAATAATCAATATTTATTAAAAATTTTATACTTACAAATTACTGTATTATTTCATGATTGTATTTTCCATTTTAAAAATTATTTATCGAATTAATTCTCTAATTAATACTAACATAATCAAATTATTATGTCATTATTATAACATTATTTAACTAAAAATCATTAAAGTATAATTACTAATTATTTTGTATTATTTTTTAAGAAGTACAATAAATAATAATAAGCAATAAGAGCAGCATGGAATTTTGGCCAATAATGGGTTAAATTTGTAACATTGTTATTTATTATATTATTTTTACATTAATGTTTATTATACGCGATGACAACTTGTGCTTTTTTGATTATCGTCAAGTCGCAATAAATATACATACACATATAACTAAATTGTATATTTATAAGTATTATGCATACAATAGGTACAACAGCCTCCTTGTACATTAATAATTTTTCATTAAAAATAACATCAGTAAGATTTTCATGATATGTTTAAATACATACTTTCCTCGAAAAATAATAATATTAAGAATTATTTTTAATTATTATTTTTTATATTTATAATATATTACATAATGTAATAATAAAATGAAATTAAAATAATTTAGGAAAATAATTTCAAAAGGTAATTTTAACTTCTTAAATTTGTTCTCCTAAATTTATTCTGTATAATGTTCTGTAGAAAATTCTCTTTTCAAGTTTTTTCCCTATACAATATATTTTTTGTTTGTTATATAAAATAAAACTTTTTAAAAATAATATGTATTATTATATGATAAATCAGATCGTGATATAATCTCAATTAAGCTGTAAATAGCAAGTATAATTTTCTTAAAATATATAAAATATTTTTTAAATAATTTTTTAATACATTATAAATTTTATGTTAAATTTCTCATTGGTTTTGGTTTATCACTGAGTAACGATTCATTAAAAATTAACAGTTATGAAGTAAAGTAACGCTATTTGGCAAAACTTATTCTAAACATTAATTTATTAGTCAAGTGTTCAACGATTCACTTAGTCTTAATAATAAACAAAGTTGCATATAACTAACAGTAATTTATTGTATTTATAATTTTATAATAAGTTAATTTGTTGAAACATACCATTAGAATTCATTAAGACATATCAAAGTTTTTCTGCAGACATTGAAAAATATAAATGTAACAGTAGTAACAGATATAACAACCTCTGAATTAGAATTAAATATACCTTAATTTTAATTAGAAATTTATTGTTTTAATATAGAAATATATTATTTAATAATCGTTTAGATCATCGTCACAATTTTCAGTAATACAGTTTTAAACGATTTAATGAAATAAAAGAACATATAAGTAAAAAATAATAAAAATGATCTTGTTAACAGGTAAAACTTGTTTTTGATGCCACGCTACTTGTATAATTAATTCGTGGACTAATTTAATTTAATCGATTTATATACATAATTATAAAGTGTTTTATTTTATTTATCTACATTAACGAAAAGAAAAATTATGAAGATGGACAGTAACAAGAAAAAGAAAAGATACCTTACTTTTAATATCTTCTCGGAACTAAATCAGCATATTTTAATGTAAAGATTAAAAATTTTAATATAAAGGTATTTGAGAGAAAAAAAGAGAAAGGAAACATGGGTAAAAGGAGGGAAAGAGGAGGAGAGATCTCTTTTTACATCTTTTTACATCACGATTATTTATTCTAGACCGCGATCAAAGGCTATAACTTCGAATCAATTTTATCGCTGTGGACGACCTGTTGCGAAGAGTTTTCGCGAGCAATGCAGTCGCGGACGGCCTGCAGAACAATGCTTATTCGCCGGTCTAGGGCGTCTAAATGGGGTTCCCATAAAACGGGAGCCACAGGATCTCTTGCCATACTCTGCCGCATAGCAGCGCTGAGCCGCGTGGGCCCATTATGGAAGCTGCAATCAGAAGTGAGTATTTTCTATCAATAAAAGAAAATTGTTTAATTTATTGTTTAAGTAAGCTCTTCAAATGAAAGAAAAGGTTTTTATTAGTAATTATAGAAAATTATATACAGAATAATGTAGATATAGTAAATTGTGAACAGAAATACTGTCCATTTCAAGTATACAGTGAATTGAACTGCACATGTATGCGATAAAATTTCTTTAAAATATTTTTATATATTGCTTATTGTTTCGACAAAGTACACTTAGAAAATAAAAGTTGGTTTTCACGAAAGGATTGTTTTGATTCTCTTAAAATGCATAGAAGCACTCATAAAAAGATACATGTTTCCATTTTGATCTACACTACTCATACCCAAAGTTCATTAAAAACAGAAAAAAAATACTTGCGAGCTTTTATTTACGGAAGTTTGCAATTGTAATAAGTGAATTAATCTATATGATTAATTTATACGAAAATAAACTAATTTTGTTTTCAGAAAATTATTCAGATTATCTTGGCAACATGTCTTATTATTATTGGCACTGAGTTTCCTTTTATTTCACAAAATGTTTCAATCAAAATTATCCTAGAGTAATCCCGAAGTCAGGAGCGATTTCCACACGATTCAAAGACTAGACGACTTAGAAGTCAACCCTGTATAACATTTATAAAAGTGATTATAAAGTCCTTGTGTAGTTTTAAGCTTTCATAACTTCTATTTTATATACGATAAAGATTATTAGTTCTGAAAATTTTAAATTACAAGAACTTTATAATCACTTTATATATTTTGAGATCAAGGCCATTGGTGTGTAAAGTTCTAAATTAAAAAACAATTTCTTCTTACAATACATATATAAAATGTTTATACACAGGGTGGGGCAATAACTTTGTTACACATATAAAATGTCTCACTTCTCGCCTTTTTAAGGAATCCTGTTATTATCCTTATCGGGGCCTTAGACTGCCTGATTTAACCGTAACAATTTTTTACTCGGGTTAATCGATAATTCTTATAATACATTAGTTTATTGACATATTTACTAAAGATATATACTCCCAATTGACGTGTGGCTCGAAATTAATACGGGGGGAGTAAGGCATCCTGTATACCTCCGTTAAATGTATTGGTTTTCATATACGAGTCTAATTTTATATTGTGTAATAGTACTGACAATAAGAATAACCAGGTAAACAAAAGTCTCGGCAGGATGAAAAGACTGTTCAGTCTCAAGGCTCATCCTTCCTCCTTAATCCTAAAAGAAAGTTCTCCGAAGACTCCCTAGAGAGTAGTCCAGCCGGTGGCAAAGCAAAGTACTCTGAGAGAGTCCACTTTTATCCACGTGATGCGTCGGAATGTGTGCGTTTTGTGTGTGTGGTGTGCTACGTGTGCGTGTGTAGGTGTGGGTATGCGTGCGCGCGTGCGTTTGTGTGTGTGTATGTGTGTGTGTCACCCCGTATAAATAGAGCCCAAGTCGAGTGTCTGCTCAAGCCGATACTTTATTCATTGGCAGTTCCACCGACCCGTGGAGGCTTCCATTACCGTTCTGAAAGCTTCCGACCGCCCGGTTGTTGATCTAAAAACCCACGTCGCTCTGAAAAGCGCCTCGAGGCTATTATCAATCCCAAAAACCTTTGAACTTGGTAATGTTTTCTTGAGGAATGTTCAATTATTATTGAAAAACATAATTTTCAAACATCGATGTTACTAACTTGAAAATTTATAAGCGTTTTTATATGCTGACATACTGCTATCTAATTCACTGAGGAACAACAATTTTATTCTCAGCCTTTTGATAGCCATTCTAGATATACTTCTTAATACTGAATCTCTATATATACGAAATCAGATTTTTCCTATCGGGTTTAATTTTCTCATATTGTCGAATTTATCATAATGATGAGAATTAAATTTGTAACACTGGTTTGTATAATTTTGTTCTCTGGAAAAGAAGAAAAATAGTTTCTTGAAGTGTTTTGCGCACTGAATCCGTATTTGCAAAGAAAAATATTTTGGCACTTCAGATTTTAGAAAAACATTTCATTAAAGCCTCAAAAAAGAATTTTTATTTATTTTAAAAAATTTGTCGCTGATAAAATAAACTTGATGTGCTAGAGACTTTAAATTAACGATTCAAATTAAAGCTGGAGTATTGTACTTTAAAATAAAAATGTTGAAGTTTTTACTGCAAGTATCATTGAATCTTTGGCGCGCTTTGTGTCAGGGGTACGCGCGCAGGATAAAGTAGGATTGCATTTAGTTAGACCCACAGCGAAATTATTACATGTAGAAAAAATGTAGATTTAGTACATAAACACAGGATGGCGCGCATAAAACCGGCCCCAAATGCAAAATGCAGTTTTAAAGTTATATATTTATTATATGAGTTTAGTGAACTTTCACGTCTGTGTGAGAATCGCCGTTTATTTACACTAAATGTAACTCAAATGTATATTTTTACCAAATAAACTGTAAAATTTAACTATAAAACTTAATTGTTTTGCGTTTGAGGCCGATTTTATATGCTCTACTCTGTATAATAGATGTGTTATAGATATACTAACTGTTTTTGAATAGCACAACTATTTGAATCGTTATTTTTCACAAATTGTTTTGATAAGCTTGAATTTAGATTCAATAATGCCTACAATAAAGATTCAACCTTTTTATTTTAAAACTGGCTGACTACTGTTGGACTATTAAGAGAAACAGACAAAGTACGGAAGAAAATTAAATAAAACTATTTTCTTAACTACAGATTTTTCTTGTTGATCAAATTTTAATAAGAGTGCGTGTAAATATATAGAGTTTTTAGGAGTGAAATCTCTCGTCACGCAGAAGTCTTACCTAATAAAGAAATGTTGCAAACATATTTGGACTTACAATTAGCATAACAAATATTATAAAAATCACGTATCCTCATCTTTAAGGATAGAAAAAAATTTGTTTGTTCCCTAGTAATATTATAGAGTTGTAAATGTTATTTAATTATTAATTAGGAAAATGTTTTGACTTTGAGAAATGGTCTATTTCTCGAAAACTGTATTTTCGTTATTATTGTCGGTGAGCAAATTGATTTCTGTTTAGTTAATAGCGAAGTAATTTCGCTGAATTGTTATTGCAAATGTGCGGCTGATCAGACGATAGACTAGAGTTAGCATATAGAGTGTAGAAAATAGACTAACAGAAGAAGAGTCGCAATCAGCGATTCATGCGACGAAACAGCACAGCAGGAAGCAATTATCCTGTAATAATGTGCTTAATGGACGATGTGTGGGTTCTTTTAACTCCGCTATGTATTTGTGTATGCGTATCTGTTTGTTTCCTATACTCGAACATTAGCATATTTAGTATATTTATATTTAGATAATACTTATCAAACGAAGTGAAAAATGTCCACTTAATATACTCTGTCAGGGAGAGAAACGTATTGTATATTTTTATATAAAATTATGTACCTCTTTCTGCATGAATTGACGTAAATTTTTCGTTATTCTACTGGAAATATTTAAGCATCCCTGCACAGTTTCCCATTTAATAAAATTAATTTCAATTAACTTCAATTTTTACAATGGATCTTCTACGAATTTCCCTTAGAGAAAAGAATAACAGTCTTCTATACATTATTAAAAATTCCCAATTAAATGACTTGTGCACAATAAGTGTTGTATACGAGTGAGTATAAGAGTATGACTACATACTTTATATGCAAGCACGTATGCTCATGTGCATACGACACACGTGTGCGTATGCGCGGGCGCGCATAAGCTCATACACATATAAAAGACAAAAGAAAGTACAAATTATATTTACAAATATTAAATAAAAATTTATTTGAACTGATATTCGTGCTTGCACGTATCACAATGATGTCAGCACAAAATTTTCTTGTTTTAAAAAGTGCATAAATATTTCAGAAAATGATTTCTTCGTTAAATTTTTTAATTTTATATGAAGGGAGGCAACCAGGCAGAGTATAACAATAAATATTAAGACAGGCAGAAGTATTACAATAAAATGATTGGCTTTACGAAATATCTGATATTTTATGTCGGAATATATATATGTCGTAACAATATTTCGGATGAAAATAATAGCTCATAAAGTTTTTGAAAAGTTTGTGTTTTGAAAATCCTACTGGAATATTTTTGTAAGTAAGATAACCAGAATATATCGTTTCATATAAAAAAGATCATACAATTTCGTGCAAAAATTCAAATAGTCATGACTAAAATAAAAAGTCTTTTCTATTCTTTGACAAGATTAATTTTGTAACTTGTACTTGATTATGTATTTCATACAAAGAAACAAGTGTCTTCCTGATTTTAATGAACTTTGCATACATGTGGTACAGATAAAACTAAGGGATACATTAATTTAATAACTATCCATTTTGTGAATGCTGAATCTTTTTTACCACCTTGCATATCAACGTTCAGAAAGAACTATTCTCGTTCCCATTGTTTTGATTTATCGAAGAAAATTGTCGAATCGCACGATAGTATCCATCGATCGGCGAGATTTGCAATTCAGAACAGTTAACAGTAGGTTTAGCGCCGCTAAATTCGATCCCATCCGAAAAAGGAAAAAAGCAGGAAACTTTACGATAAGGCGGATTCCGCAATCCGGGGAGCTGCGTTTTATCAGAATTGCTGGGACGCGCTCGTGAATTCTTGCTTTGATGCGGATTCGCGTTTTTACGGGCTGCGCGATAAATCCGATGTCCAGCCGTCCGGATTTCGCGGACGCGCAAAGTATCGGGAATGGAAAACCGATAAATAATGTCGTGTGCGAGATTAACACTGGGATATAGATTAAAACGCTTATAATCAAATCGTTCGTTTCGGTTATCGATGTCTAGTCGTTTAGGCGAAATTATGAAACACCTCGCAGATTATATTTGTACAATTGCTGTACCACATTATTTTATAAAAGCAAATCCAATCCTTGAATGAAGGATTCGATAAATTTATACTATTCATCAATTATTATTTAGTATTATTAACACTATAATATAATATATTGTTATATATAAAAAATTTAACTCACCGGAGTAGAGTACTTAAAGTAGTCTGCCTGACGATACAGCATTGTAAGAGAGGAGCTAGAATAGACGTCTCGTCATGGAAGGGTTTTCCGAAGCCTCTTCCGTGGTCCAGATGCAACGTAAAACTATCGTTTCCAAAAATTCTAAACGTCTCGTAATGATGGCGGTCCATGTTGCCCGTTAAAAAGTCGAAGACTGCCATGTCCATTAGATCGAGCAATCGTCGACCTTCGTCATACGGTGGAATTTCTCTTACCAGAGAGCAGTAATCGGAATCTGCAAATTTACAAAAAGAAATCGAAAGGTTTAGTAACGGTTTGCAGTTCTTATAGGTTTTAGAAATAGTTTCAGTGATTTGGATAGAAATAGATATTTTAAAATATGAGACACCGATTCCCCGTGGCATCTTAATTCGCAAAGAAAGTCATTTTACTTGCAGATAATGAAATACAAATAATAAAATAAAATTCACAAATTTAAATAAACGGATAACAATAAATAGAAAAGTGCGAGGAAAGTAATATTTAGATTAAATATAGCAACTTTGCTAGCTTTAGTAATAGAGAGATAAAAAGAGGAAACGTTGCGTTATATTTTCTTTCTGAATTCTGTACATTTTTAAGAACATCTTTCTAAAAAAGTGATCATGTCTTACCATGCTCCCACTGGGCCTTCTTTCGTTTGTGATAACTTCTGCGCCAAGGATGCCGCCAGGCTTTCCTAGCTGCGAAAGCCTTATCTGGCAGAAAGGCGGCGAAGCTACCCTCCAGGGTGTCGGGGCTGCCGCAAACTGCGTGTGCCGTATCGCAATAGTAACTACATTTGCCATGGAAGCACAGGTTGCCGGCCGGACTCACGAAGAAGGTTTTAAGCAGCTCACCGTCGGCAATCTGGTAAATTTCGGTTGTAACGTTGAGAGTCCGACCGCTCACCGGCATCGCCCTGCGAAACCCCAAAAGCCTGCGAGGCAAAAAGTGAGATATGCACCTTTTAAAAAATTTAGAATATCAATTTTAAGAAAGTTTCGAAAATAAAAAATTACTTTATTCTCTACAAAAGTGTGTTATGCACGCTACAGGATCCCTTTATCGTGATCCGATTTATCCCTTTAAGTTCCTTTAAATATTCTCACGTAAGACTTTAATATCAATAATAATCTTTCACTCTGCTGCAATCAATTTTTTTTCAAAGACTATTTTTTTTGCAAAATTAAGAAAAAATATGTACGTTTCACATTTATTTATGTATGATACAACACGTTAAATTGTAATATTACCTGTCTAGATGAAACGAGGCAATTTCAGCAGTATGCCTCTCGAAATCTGTGAAGTAGAAGTGGTTGGGTAAAGTCTGTTGTTCTCGCGGAAACCTGCAATTGGAAACAACTTTCTTATTATTATGATAAAAGCAATAGATTTGAGTAAAAACCTAAAATCTATAATTTTTTTAACTGACAAGATAAACAATTTGAAATAATAATCGTGCCCTTAATTTAAATCCTTTTTATTATTATTGTGATTTTGAGAAGGGCAACAGGACATGCAGTTGGTCTTGAAATAGTCTGCGTAATCATGAAAGAGTACGAACGTCTCTGAAAGAGACTCGCGTGTGTAATATTGCGGGTATTATCCGAAATTGCTGTATTACAGAATTAAGGCGAATTGCAGTATCAATCGATCGATATCTATCGCGTGACTTTGTGATCGTTCGGTTTATTGCGTAACACAGTAACTGTGTATTACTATATTTACTACATTTCAATAACTCTTAAATTTCATATAACGTAATTTGCATAACTGTACTTTGCCCTTTTGCAAAAGGAAAGTTGAAATGAGACGTGTAATCCTTGTTTTTATAAAACCGAGATTAAAACGTCTATCTTTAAATGTTTCACAAAAGAATCCATTGGTTAATTATTTCATTAATTACACGCCTCATTTCTACCAATAATTTGCAGTACATTCTATACAGCGTGATTATTCATTTAGTGGATGAATTAATATAATTGAACAATACATGTACACGCATACCAACGCGCGTACACGTAGGCGCACGCACACAAACACGCGTATATCAGTATCCTAATATAACACTTATTATAAATGCTCGTTATCAATCGTTGATAATTATTTCATGTTTCCCGGCATAATGCGTTGAATAAAGACATTACTAAACCTGTGTACACGAATCCCCATTTAAATAGACAAATAAAAACGTTCCTATTTTATATATACATAAAATACAAAAATGTAATTCAATGTTCAACCAAACGAACCGAGTATACAGAAGCATCTTACAATATTACTTTTGTTTGCATTTAACCAGACTACATTTAACACAATGTTCTATTCTATCGTAATAAATTGATAAATTGTAAACTGTGCAAAGTGCAGTCAGGACGCATCATGTGTGACAAAAAAGGGAAGAAAAAATGAAAATTATTCATTGGAGAAGTGCCGCAAAGAGACAGTGCAAAAACTGAGACTTTTATTAGTCCCCGAACTTCTATTTAGGACCTCTTGCTCTTGAAGAGAGCGCGAAGGGAAAAGGGAAAGAAAGAGAAGAAGAAGGGGGGAAGAGGGAAAGGGGGGAGGTAAAAGGAGGAAGGAGAAAGAGAGAGACATAGAGACAGAGTGTGAGAGAAGAGAGAGGAAGGTTCAGGAGTTCCGCAAACTTGAGCACGATCAAATATTTACTCAGTGATCTTGGTGCGGGTTTTACGAGCGATATATGTATATAAGTACGTATATGTACATATACGAGACAGAGGACAATAAGCACGAGCAAGGAGCATGAATTTCGCGAGTTGCGATCGAGATTCTAGGGAATAAGGAAAAAAATCTACTCTTCGTGAAAATCCAGACGATCAAATTTCTGAGCTTTGTTTGAAAAGCTCGGTTAAACAATTGCAATTTCGAAATTGTGCATGTTGTACTATACAATAAGTGTTGCGAAAACACTTTAAATCTGGACTTTGCTGTTCCCTAAAATATAATACATCGGGTGGTTTTTATAAAAATGTAACTTTTCTTTTGCGCAGAACAATTTAAGCGGAATTATACAAACCTGAAAGTTGCAGTACAAATAAATAAATGTAATATAATCATATAGAGAATGTATCATAAAGAATGTTTTCGCTCTTCTCCTGGATTGAGCAAATTTTGTCCGAGCGAGTAATGAGAGTTTATTGCGGCCAGCTCGCCGTTTCGCCGAAATTCTCGCTGCCGTGGAATCGCAAACTTTCCGGGGAACTTATTGGCGAACTTATTACCGGAGTTTAAACCGCGTGAGCGCCAACCACTTATCGTAGAATCTTCGGCCCACTGGAAGTTTAAAGGGCTCTGGTCTCGTGTGGACCACCAAGAAGGAGAGGTAGATAGATAGATAGAGATAAAAATAGAGATATAGATGATGAGAGAGGGAAGGGAAGAAGGGAATCGCGATATTAGGTTTGTCTGAAAATTTCTTACGACCTCTTCGAATATTGCATTGTCGCTGTTCCACTACTTAATGTTAGTATACCAAAACACTTTTCTTTAAAACGTTAATTGTTATACAATAATAATTGTTATTCTATATGTATATTATATATTTATCATTGATGTTTTAGAAATTCTTTGTCATGATATTCAAATGTCGAAATGTGCACATTCAAGTGCACACATGACAATTAATATAAAAATATGTGTATACAATCTTACTTATGATTATCGGAATATTTCCGATAATTTTGGTGCGATATAACAATTCATTTAATTACTTGCTCACAAGTAGTAAACAAATTGGGATAAAAATAAGTGAAGTGGATTTAAATTAAGGTCGTTACACGTCGATAGTTTCATACAAAAAGGCACGCGTGTCTGGAAATGGAGAACAATGGCGTGTGTGTCATATCATTTATTAAAAAAATGCCATGTAAGAAAAGGAGGAAAACGGTAGAGGAACAAGAGGAAGGGGATGATGAAGAGGTCTCACTGTTCAAGAGTGTTCTTCTTATAGCTCAAACCGCGCTCCTGACATCACTTATGTAATTGCACTTGTAATCCAATCCAAATGTAACTTCGTCAGTAAAAAAGAAAGTCAAGATAAGAGAAGTACTCGTATCGGTTTCGAATTAGGCTTTAATGATTGTAAGATTTTGAGAAATCAGAAAGTCGCACAGGTAACCTGGAATTTAGTATTTAAAAATTTCTTAATATTTTTATAATATATGTTACAGCATTTGGACATAACTGCGGGGACAAGTTGAACACATAAGAACAAAAAGTTTATATAAATATCGTTTTTTTGTTACAGAATGTTTGTATCCCAATAATTGTCCTTACAAATGGAATAAGTTAGTTGATACCACTTAGCTATTCATCAAATATATAGGATAGGTATATTGGCGACCATTTAATTGAACCTTTTTATAGCTCAACTTTAATAAAATGATACTGTACTAAATTCTTCAGAGAGTAGTCAAATAAAATATTAAAAGATTTCACTTAAAATTAACTATTATACTTGTGCAATTTTACGTCCTATCTTATATTAATCATTTAGACACTTTTAAGCGATTTTGAAATAGATTAATTCTATAAAAACCTTATATAGATAAAAAAATGAGCATTAAGTACATAAAAATATTTAAAAGTTCATCAATTATTAAATAAAAAATTAACTACTAAAAGGTAGATATGAAATCTATTGAATTAGCTAAGCATTACTGAGACAAATGAAAATCTTAAAAATAATTAAAAAATAACACTTTCGAAGATGCCACACATGATTTATTTATAAAACGGATGAATAAAGAAAGCGTGAAGGTACACTTCAAGTATCTAAATAAATTACAAAATTATATTTGTTAGCTAATTTTAGATAAAATGTGCTTTAATAAATTTCTAATTTGAAGTTTAATTACAAAGATGCTAAGAATTGAGAAGTTGATAACTTTCCTCAACATTCTTACTAAGAAAAAAATCAACTTTAAATTGATCTAAGATTCTGTCGTTAAAAAGTAATGCGCAGGAAGCGGAAAACATCTTGTGATGATAAAATTATATTGCTCCTCGCCTCCGTTTCAAAAGGGAGAAAGCACAAATTTTTAAGTTATGAATGAAATCCCAAAGAAACCTTTATTTTCAGATTTTATAAAGTTTTTACTAAAGAAACAAATAACTTTTATTTAACATACTTTTTATAAGTGTAAATATAATAAGAAATTACGAATATTTGAAACTTCAGTAAAATTAACCCACGGCCACTACTTTTTCTGCTTGTGGTTTACCTTATTAAATAGCCAAACTGTTTACCACTTCTTTCTAACCACTTATTTAAAACTAATCTTTTCAATTACTTAGAACAGATCAAAGTAACTTTAGTAGAAAGGAATGCAAATTTGTAAATTTGCGTATATACTGTGTGTGAATTTAAAATGGCGATTCGAGCAATGCTTTGGCGTTAATTTGGGCGCTATCGTGGCAGCGTCCCGCGGCGCCGTTGCACCGACAAACTGCCCAAGTAATTTTGCGCGCTGTCTGCCTGTGATCCCAAGATACGCCAAGAACTTTGCGACATTCTGTGGTTTCACCGCCATCGTTCACGCGGGTCATAGAAGCCGACCTCTCGCTCGTAATTTGCATGCAATCGTTCCTAATTTGTGCTATAATGGCACTAATTAGAATATACATACAAACACATATATACGCACGCGTATGTACAGGAAAATCAATAAACGAATATTAACGAAGAAAGGAAAAATTAACGAAAATCACCTAATGTACCTAATAAAAATGGTAATCCTTACATACAACAATTGAACAATAGAAAATCTGTATATTTTATACAAAACTTATTATCTTACGTGTTCTACGTTATATTTTTATATATTATGTGATTTGATTTACGTAATATTTATATAACCGGTGAAAACTTTTATTATTACGATAACATATTGTGCAAAAATAAAATGTTAGATACTGATACACTGAGTGTATGTACTTACCGCATCGGTTTAAACAATGCCTGCATGTTGTCGCCATAATCAATGATCAGTTTTAATTGCGTGCCACCGTCTTTTTGAACTGCAACACATCAATCAGTAAATCTATAAATAGTATCGTTTAATTATAGGTGTACTTCAGAGACTTAACAAACAACTATTAATTAAACTGCATAAAATAAAACAAAAATTGGTATGGTAATATATTGATGTAACAACAATAATTACTAAACATGTATGTACATATACATATAATTATAGTATATCAAATATCAAATATACATATAATATGTTATTATTCCTGTTGGTTATATGTATAATAAATACGATGAATTATTTGCGAGTTAAACTAATATCTTAATAAACTATTTTAAGTATTTCAATTATTTCTCTTTTTTTTTAAATATTTCAAATCAAAGTTTGACACTTGGGGAGAGAACTTACGATACACACAAGAAATCTTTGAAACTATGCATTTTTTACAAGGCTTCGACATCATTGATATTTTTTAAAAATTATATGATTCCTATAGTTATTTTGCTTACAAAAATGATAAAGTAAGTAATTCAACAGTCGATAATTTACAGTCAACAATTTAATGCTTCACATTTTATATTGTCACGTACTTACTTATTTTATTCTGATATAAAACATAAAATATTTGGTAAAATGTTTATTTTTCGTTGGTCTTACTTTAATACTTTTATGCATAGAATAATAAGAGAAGTCGATTGGTATAAAACAAAATAATCACAAAAATGTAACTGTACTTTACATTGCAATTAAATAATTGATTATGTGAACTATAATATCTATACATAAATTTGTACAACCATTGTAGTCGTATTCTAACAAAATATAATGCTATTCTCTCTTATGTATGCAAAATTACAAAAAATTTTTCTTCCGTAAAATTTTATTGAAAGTTTAGATACCAACAGATTATTGCATGCCATATTACTAATCCTTTTACGGGATAATTAGGATTCATTTAATAAAATCGCGATTCGTTTAGCTTTTGCATTACCATAAGCTTCGAGAAGTAACGCGAGTCAATAATTCGTCGGGCAACGATGATTCGTCGTGGTCAAATAATAAAGCGTCCGTCGTCTGCGGCCTGAATTAAATATACGACATTCACGAGATTAACAGTCGGTACCGCGAGATCGATATATCTGGCGAAAAATAGAACTAGGTTTGTCCGAACAAGTCGTCATATTGTGACAATATGTTAATGAACAAATCAAACACGTAGCTATCTTCCAGAGAGCATGCATGTCTGAAACACATCGTAAATACATCGCGGACATAGGTGTCTAAAAGAACATTTTACAAATATCTTTACGATGTCTTTCAGATATATACGTACTATCTGGTAGTAATTTTATTATCAGAAATGTGCTATTTTCAAACGATTTATGATTGATTAATCAGTATAAATTAGGCAATTATTTTATCTTCTGTATAAAATAGTATTTTATACGAAACTTATTATCTGTACATATATCCATATACTTTTACATGTACTTTTACATCCTTTTATATTTAATTTTTGAAAAGTTTATATAACTTTACATAATTTTACATAATCTTATAATGACGCATATTTTTATAATTTGAATGCAATAATAACATTTCTCTCACCTGAGTCGTTAACAATACATTTTCTTAATTGTCATAACGTCATGAACAGTTCGACGATAGTTACCCACTCCTATCCCATAGCTAATTAAATATGTTCTTCTTTATTCTCAATCGACAGAATTGGAGCGAGATTTTAATTATTACGGTGAAAGTTTTATCCATTTATCTTCATCAATTTTGCTTCCTTGTTTTCTTTTGTTTCAATTCGTAATATCATTATTACTATTAGACAAGACTTCCCTTTCTAAATCTATTCCACAACTGACAAAACTAAAGATAAGCTTGCCATCATTATCTCGGTTAATTCAATGCAAATCAAAATATTACTTTATTATATAAATGTATATAATACTACAAAAAAATAATATGTAATACCACACACAACTGGTATCGAAATATACAAATTAAATATATTCGATACAACGTATACAAAACAATAAATAGTTTTTATCAAAAATGATCGAAAAGTTAATATTAAAACCATTCAAAATAAATTTATAAAACAATACTTTACAGAAAATGTTTCTAAAAATTGTAAACTTTGCGATTAAATTGATTATATTAATTTACTCACCAACATGAAGAATCGGCTTTGTCGCCATCTCGTGAAGCAATTGGTCCACGTATTTCGAGTCTTCAGAATATAACTCCAATCTTGAGATTTGTAGGTGGAATTTCTCCAAGGTCGTGCTATTTTTTCTGGAATAAAGAAAATTTCCCTATACAATATACTTTATTAATGTTAAATATATAATATTTAAATTATATATACACATCTCACACTTCTACAAATTAATAATGTACATGTTCTTGAAGCAATTAATGTTCCTTAATTACTCATAATTTCCGAAACAATAAAGAATAATAAATCAGTACATACACTTTTAGCGCACTTGTGTACGCGTAGGTACAAGTTTAGACGTTTTATAAATTTACATTTATTTTATACGTATATATATTTGAAGCACAGAGAGATTAAAGGGTTGAAGAGTTCAGAGAGTGGAACTTTTATATTTTTTATATAGATTTAATATGATTTGGGACGAATTCTTTTCTTCGACGTTCGACGTTTAGTGTTGATCATAACATTTTAACAGCAAATTGACGATAACATTTTGCCGTAAGAAAAGGTCGAATGTCAATCGATGCCAGTATCAATTCTAAAAACGTTCATAGCGTTGTAAAAATTCCCGATAGTTATTTCCGCGCAAAAGTAGAACGAGCAATAAAAACGTAATTCTCGTTGCATTGCCATTTTTTTATCGATACATTAAGATAAAAGTCAGTGTTGTAAGAAATACATTTTTAAAAATAACTAGACACATATATAGATATGTATGTTTTATGAAGAATTGGATATAAATTCCTTTACTCTAAACATAAATGTAGATATATTGCTTTTCAAGTATATATTGTATGTATATTCCGTATACAAACAATATTTATAGAAAGTAAATCACATCCTCTAGTTACTATATAAAAAATCTATATAACATAAATAGACAAAGACGAATATAACTGATTCATTATAAATCATTCATATAAAAAATTTCGCTCGTCACCTTCGTCGACCCGCCCCAATGAGACATTCCATGGGAATAATCGCCAGAATTTTATGGCATGATATCGAATCCTTGGGGATAGTAAAGAAAGATGGGAAGAACGAAGGGATGGAGAGAAGATCCAAACCGCGATGATTGTGAAAATATAATTTGTAGGCATCGTTTGACCGTTTTAAAATGCATGGAACGGTGTCCACAACGACGACGGCTTTCGACCCTCTTTTTATGCTCTAAAGGTGAGGAGCATCTTATCCAATATGGGAAGAGAGATTTACCATTTCGGTTATTTTTCTACGTATCGTTCTTTCGACGTTTCTTTACGGTTCTATATGCCTGGAGAAGATATCAATATAACAAAAAAATTTAATTAATAACACAATGGAACGATATATTAACGTATAATATGGTAACTTTAAGAAGAAATATACAGTAAACTTTATATTACAAGTAAATTACATATACAAATTTCAGATAATTAGTTATTATGAAATTACAAAGAAATTACTTTGCAGAATTCGTTATTAAATTATTTTCAAGCGAGAAAACTTTCGACGGCATCAAGCTTAAATCGAGTAATTTACTGCGGGGCACATCGGCAGTCTTTTATTAAAATTCACCTCATGGCTTTCTCGCTGCTATACTCCTGCTCCCAATCCCATTTCCACCCCCAACCTAAAATCTGAGTACTTGTCGATATCCAGTTACGACGTGTTTCCAATAAAAATCTGCCGCTTTTGCTAAATAAATCATTATATCGTCGCGTTGCTGAAACTTTCTCATAGTCACATTTCGATTTTTCTATTTTTCTATCAGACTTGGAAACATTTGTAATTAGAAAAAGATTGCTATATTTTCGTTTTGATTTGTAGATTGATATCAATTTTATTGTTAGATATTTATTTGAATTGTTTCATTTTATTATTTTCATTAATCAGTTTTTAAAATCAAATGATCGTTTAGAATTAATTGTAATTCTAATTTACGATTATATCTTCTTCCGTATCTTAATTTAACACGTGTAGGCCCAAATGGCGGCCCAAAGATAACTCCGAGATATTTATATCCCGCCACTGGATGGATTAGTATGCAGCAGGAACTCCGCTATGATGCTCCTTCATCTTTCTTGAAGGTGGAAAGTTGATGCGACACTTCTAGGTAAGGATTTTTCATCGTCGTGAAAAAATTATACTTCTTATATTTTATATAAATTATATAATAACATAACTTTATCTTATCGATATGTATCTCTATAATTTACTTAATGTATCAAATAATATATGACTATATATTATGGTTTGTTATATGTATATTGCTTCTTTTTTTAATTGCAAATGTATTTTACAACTTAACTCTATATCATTTTATTTTAAAATTTATATTGCATTTATATCTCCAATTAATAATAATTAAATTTAATAATTGAATAGAATTTAATAGAGTTTAATAGAATTGATTTAATTATAACAGATTAATCCGTTAAACGAATAATTATTTAAACTGGTTTATAATACTATAGAGACACGCATACGATCGTGAAAAAGTTTCTACAAGAATTATAATATAATATATAATTTATGAAACGCGCAGTTACGAGCAGAGGTCAAATATTTGATGGAATATTTATTGAAATCGATTCGGGCTTCTCCGGGAACCTATTTAATAAAATTTTTTTTCCATCTGCCAAAATTTCATACTGAAAACCACGAAGGGTATAATTTGCGATATAGTTGATAACAAATTACACATTTTTACTTGAAATAAAATAAAATAGAAAATAGTATTTGCAGAAAATAAGAATATAACAATATTTATCCAAAATGATCAGGAATATTTAAATTGGAAAACACAAATGTATTATTAACATTATGCATGTAATATAATATCATGTAACATATTTACAGTATCTACGTTTGCGCGCGTGCGCGCGCGTTGTGTATGTGTAATGTATACACATATTAATATCGACTTTTGCTTAAGTCTTCCTCAGTTTAATGGTGGCTGTTAATTATATGAAACACTCTGTAGATTGTTTAATATAATACAGATAAAAATAAAATATTTAAATAAAGTATAATTTCTTTTATTTAAGGAGGTAAAATAAAACAGATTTTTATTGCTTAAAAAATAGTGGTATATATTTAATTTTTCAAAATTATATTTAAATATAATTTATTATCGATATTAAAACAAATATCTGTATAGTCATAATAAAAATAATCATAAACCATTTAATTTTAGTTTGTGGTGTAATTTTGTCTCAAAAAGATGCTTTGCAATAACAAGTGGATTAAAATAATCATTATCTGTATTTTCTAAAAGTACATCTTCATGAATTTTTGATATATTTTTAATATACCTTTATAGATTTTCATCTTGGCTATTCTAAGAAACGCCTTTAAAACTCATACAAGTAAGTTTAAATACAAATAAGAGTTTTCACTCTTCTAACGTTATCTTCATAAAGACTTATTTTGTAAAAAGAGAAATAAGCTTTTACGAATAAAGTTTCAGATGCGAGTGTATATAAAAAAGTATTCTTACACTTGATATCCAATTAAAATCTACTATACAGATTTAGTAACTAATTATCATCTTCCTACGGCTAATGAATTATCAAATCTGAGGCTTCTCAAGCCCTCAAAGTTGCAAACAAACGCGACGGCTGATTAAGGATTTCATGATTAGGCTATTCTCTCCCTCCCCTATCCCCTCCCTCGTGCAAGGGACGTCGTCGACGTCGACGACGATGTCGTCGTCGCAACGTCATCCTGTCTCTCGAACTGCAAACCGAATCTCTAGATTGAGTTCTCAGCGAACACACGTGCGAGCGAAACTAATCCGCGACTTCTTCCTCTCCCCCCTCCCCTTTCACCCGCCACCCTATTCCTTTCTCGATGTCGATGTCGGAAACTCCGTCGAGACTAAGTCTTAAGCCTGGTTCTCATGTATAACGCGTAGCGATCCCGAAATTAGCTCAGAAACGAGAGGTTTCTACTGATAGTATTATTGGATTCGTAGATACTTAGATCCCTGGCTTCCGGTTTTCCTAAACCCACGAGAAACCTCCAGGTCCCCGAATTTGTCTTCTATAATAAAAAAAATTAATAACTACGAATTAAAAAAATTTTTTAATAATTCGATAATTGGATAATAATGAGAAAATAACGAGTTTCCCCAGTTGCCTTTCGTTTTTACATCCGGAACTCGCATCAAAATCGAAAATGCAATCAGAGGCGGAAATTCGAGAGGGATGGGATGTATGCAAAAATATAAGCGGTAAACTGAATTAATGCGAATCGTGTGTGGACAAGACGTAATCAGTCGCAGTCTGCGCACATGAAAGGCTGACCTAAGCCTTCGTTATTGCACATGTACGTACGCGTCCGTGAAATTGCATTAGCGATCGCATGCATATTGAGAACGAAAGCGAGCGAGATTGTATGTAGTATCTATAGTATAATTCGTTAATACAAATATAAATCAATAATTCTACGATCTTTGAATCGAAAATATTTCATAAACCAATAATTAAACATCGTTAATGATCTTCCGATTAATATTAAGGAAGATATTTATATTACAGAATAATTTTAGTTTTATGTATTTCGTCTAGCAAATTACTAAAACTACGGTTTTATAATGTAAAAGTTATTAATATATAATAACGCTCAATTTTGATAAAAATGTAAATTTTTTTCTTCTAACATAATGTTAAATCTACACTTTCAAATTTGTGATATTTTTATAATCGAATTTATGAAAATATCATGACGAGTTGTTTCCGAATATCTACAGTTTTCCGAAAAACAATGAGATTTCATATAATTTCATGTCGAATAATGCAATTTTATATAGTTTACCGGGAAATAACGCGGTCCACGTCGAGAGATTCTCAAGTAACGTCCGTTCGTCCGCTGCTGTGATGCATAATGCATACGATGCACTTTCTCACGTGATCTCGTATAACGGAGGAAGGAAATATCACCACAACGCCACTGGAGAGAATATCAATTCTGAGAGGATATCAATGGCAAATCGCGGATTCAGAGATGTCACTTCCTCGATTTGCAGGCTCTGTGCCCTCGCTGTACCAAGCTCCCCAAAATTTCACGATGCAACTCAATTCACATTTCCAAC